GGATGCAGGTGAGCTGGGGAGGATGCTGGTGAGCTCCGGGGGGATGCAGTTGGGCTGGGGGGAATGCAGGTGAGCTGGGGAGGATGCAGGTGAGCGAGGGATGCAGGTGAGCTGGGGAGGATGCAGGTGAGCTGGGGGATGCATGTGAGCTTGGGGGGATGCAGGAGAGCTCGGGGGGGATGCATGTGAGCTGCGGGGGATGAAGGTGAGCTGGGGGATGCAGCTGAGCTAGGGGATGCAGGTGAGCTGGGGAGATTCAGCAAAGTCCCTGAAACGGCCCAAGGCAGCAGGCTCTCAGGAAGTGGTGGTTTTGGGGCTGTCCCCGGTGCTGGCCCAGCCCCGTTCTTCAGGTGGGGCACGTGGTGGTTGTGGTGGCTTCTGCTCCCCTGAGCTGGCTCCGCCCCGGGAAGGTCTGGCATCTCTTGGGGAGCCTGGGGTTTGTGTGGTCCTCACCTCCACCTGCGGGGCTGGTCTTTCTGCTGTTCTTGTCTCCCAGGGCCGCCCCTCCAGCTCCAGGGCCCGTGGTCTCCACCAGGGACTGCACCAGCCCTGCCCTGCGCCTCGTCTGGGGGCGCGGGTCAGCGGGGGTGACGCTGGGCACCCTGTGTGGGGAGGAGCCAGTGTGCCCGGCCCAAGGCTGTCCCTGCGACTGTCCCTGGGATGGTGGCCGGTGGCCCAGACGGTTCTCCTCTGCCCTCCACTTGTCTTGATGGCATCCCTACTCCTGGCCCCACAGCTGGTTCCGGAAGAAGCACCCGCCGGCCGAGGCGCCGGTGCCCATCCCCCCCAGCCCGGACACCAAGGATCGGTGGCGCAGCATGACCGTGGTGCCCTACCTCGAGGACCTGCACGGCTGCGCTGGCGACGCCGAGGACGAGGGCCTGTTCGACCTCGAGGACGACATCATCTACACTCAGGACTTCACGGTGCCTGGTGAGCCCCGGCCCGGGCCGGGGGCGCTGACGGGCAGGCTCCCCAGGATGTCCCCTCACGGTCTGTCCTTCTGAGGCCTCTCCCCGTGGCCTCTGGGGGGACCCGACGCTTGGTGGTGCCGAGTCCCACTGCCCCCAGGGGCCTGCTCAGGCAGCGTACTGCCTGTTGACATGCGGACCCTTAGGTGCAGGGGCGTGGGGGGGGGGTCCCAGCAGGTCAGGTGGGAGAGACCCCTGGGCAGAGTGATGGGCGAGGGGCACCCAGATGGTGAGGGCCGGTGGGAGTCTCGGGGTCCCAGAGGGCCCCTGCCTCGGCCGCCCTGACGCCCTACCGCCTTCTTCCCCAGGTGACGAGGTGGAGGCTGAGGCAGGGCTTAGAGAGGAGACGGGCTCACAGCGCAGCGAGGGCCCTGGCCTTTGTGGAGAGGACGCTCAGGCGGCCGTAGTGCCCGAGGACGTGCTCGAGGCCTTAGCATAGTGGCATGCATCCCGCCCCTGCAGCCCCGCCCCACGGCCTGTGGCCTCCTCCCCCAGGAAGCAGAGCCACCAGTGCTGCTGGCACACAGCCTCTGGCCTACAGGGGGTGCCTGCCCCGGGCCCAGCCTGAGGCGGCATCCGCTGGGGGATGGGGGACGGCACAGCCCCCGCCCAGGAGTGTGGATGGTTCTGTTCTGTGGTGGGGCTGATTCTCAAGTTCAGTGTCATAAAAGGTTTGCCCTGCCGCCGCCGCCGCCGCCGTGTGTCTGAGGCCATGCTCACGTCCCACCCGGGCCCGCAGGCCCCCCCCACCCCCGTCCGGTGTCTGCAAGGCCTGGCCTCCCACACGGATGCGCTCCCCCTCCTGTTGTCCCAGGCAGGTTGTTGTGAGGGGGAGTGGCGGGGTGGTTGTTTAAAGGAAGACCTGGTGCTTGGGAACGGCCTGGGAGGCGCAGGTGTGCTTGGAGCTGCAGCTGGTCGAGGGCTCCAGACGCCGGGAAGCCCTGAGGCCTGTGGGGATGAGAGTGTGTGCTCGGCCCCCGGCCCCGAGGAGGAGGACACAGCACGGGCAGCCTGGCGGGTGCTGCGGGGCTTGGGGGGCCCAGGACCTAGTCCCTGCAACCTGAGGAAAGAAGAAACCCAGCCAGTTGCCGTGGAGTTGACTCCAGCGCTTGGCCGCCCCGTGTGTCAGGGTAGATGTTTGCTCCGGGGGGTTTTCAATGGCTGGTTTTTCAGATGGCCAGCCCTTTCTTCTGAGGTGCCTCTGGACAGACTCGAGTCTCTTGATCAGCAGCCAAGGGGATTCACGGTTTGCACCGCCCGAGGCCTCTGGTGCCTGAGGGGTGTCTTTAAGGGCGTTGGTCTGGGGGCTTCTGCTCCTCTCTGCCGGGGGTGCATGGGGGGGCCTCACTGCCCCTAGGTGGCCCCAGTGTTCACCGCTGCTGGCTTCCTTTCCTTGGACGAGCAGCTGGCCATTGGAGGAGTTTGTGCAGCCCATGCCTGGGGGGCTCTCGTTCCCGGCGGCCCTTGTTCCTGGTGGCCCCGTTGGTTCCCCCTGTACCCGAGACCGTGCCGGCTCGTGTCTCTGTCACTGGGTGTCTGACGCCACGGCCAGAATCCTGGCCACACTTGGTCTGAGTCCAGGTCAGAGATGGTCTACTTGGCCGACCCCTAGGCTTCTCATAACAGGGGGGGGGCCGGGCATGGCCTGTGCATTTGCGTCTTGGGATAGGCTGGGTGGTCTGCACACTTGCCTGTGGGCTCCCGCTGTCCCCACAAGGCTGAGCAAGTGCGGGGCCAGGCTTGTAAGCCCTTCCAGGGAGAGGCACTGGCGAGAGGCCTCTGGGTGTGATCTGTGCTCCCATGGCCACAGTTGGGGAAACCACAGGTGGTGGGAAGGGCGGCGGAGCTGGGCGGCAGTGGGGCCTAGCTGCCTGTCTGTGACCTGCTGTCCTGGCTGTGGTTTAGATCTGCAGTGGCCCTGCTTGGAGGATGGCAGGGCCAGGGTGCAAGGGACAGCCGCCCTTGCCTGATGAGCAGGTCTCCTGGGGTCCCGGTGGATGCCCTTCCCACGCCTGAGCCCCAGGCGCATGGGACAGGTGGGGGACCCGTCTCCCGGGAGCCCAAGTAAACCCCAGGCTTGAGTGTTCAGGTCCCTGGACCAGTTTTGGCCGCTTCCAACTGAGAGCTGTGCCCTGGGCCCAGACCTACTTCCTCCAGCCAGTTTACCCGTGGGGGTGGGTGAGGGCCCCCTCCCTGTGGCCCCTCATCCAGTGCCTGCCCCCACCGGGGCTCAAGGTGCGCCAGCCAGCCCCTGCTGCCCCTCGGCCGAGCAGCTCTGCAGGGACAGAGTGTGAGAGGCTGTCAGTCACCGCGAGCACACGGTGAGTCAGGCAGCTGGGTGGTGCTCAGCGTGACCCGGCATAGAGGGGGCTGAGCTGGGCCAGCAGGGCCCTGCACGCGGGAGCTCCGAGCTCCTCCCTGGCCACACAGCGCCTTACTCTGTGGGCTGCCCCGTGCCAGCACCCTGCTCACTTTCCACACGCTCCTGTGGAGCTGTGAGGGACGGCGGCCCAGACCTAAAAATAAAGGTTGGCACCTCATTACCGAGGCGTCCTTTCAAAGCTGGCTATCTCCTGTGCGCAAGTGGGTGCGTGTGAGCTCCGGAAGCCGCTGAGTCAGGCTCCTGATGCCCCCCTGCCCCCCCGCAGAAGCAGCTCTTTTGGATAGCTCCTTCCCACATGTGCTGGGACAGGTTGGTGAGCCGAGTGCTGGCAGAGGCAGATGAAGCAGCTCTGGTTCCCTGCGCACCTTTCTCCCGCCCCCCGCCCGGGGTTGGCAGCACTCAGCGCGGGCACACACAGCAACACGTGGCTGTGCTTTCTGTTCACCTGGGGGCTCCTTGCTGCCCCGTGCCAGCCCTCTTGCAGGAGACTTGGGGCCTGTGTCCTCGGGGCCCTGTGAGGCACATCCGTACAGGCGGGCGGGAGCTGAGGCCCGGGGACCTTGCCCTGTGTCTCTGTGGTGGGTGGGCAGAGTGGTTCTCACAAAGGGACCAGGGTAGGTACAGGACAGCAAGATGCGGGGTGTGGCTCTGGCTGCCCACCACCCCTGCTCCTGCCAGGGCCCAGGTACCCACACTTGCTGGGCAGCAGGACCGTAGACCAAGGGCTGCACACGGGACTCCCAGACAGTGGGGCCTTCTCAGCGTGGTACAGGAGGGTGGCATTCAAGGGCTTGGGGCTGTCAGGGTGGTGGAGGCGTGGGGTGCTTTGGTCCCTGCTCAACCCCCCTCGCTGTCTCCTTCCCAGGACAGGTCCCAGAGGAGGAGGCGGGTCAGAATGGACAGAGCCGGGGCCTGCCCAAGGCCTTGTGCATGAATGGCACCGAGGTGGCCCAGCCGGCTCTCAAGTCAAAGGCTGAGCGCCGCACCAGCGCTTCCTCCAACCCTGCCCGCCGGGCCTGCTCTGCCAGCAGCAAGATCCGCCGGCTGTCGGCCTGCAAGCAGCAGTGAGGATGCCGCCGGCAGGTGGGCTGGGGGCTGCGGGGGGCAGAGGGTCACCACAGTGTCAGGCCACTCATCCACACAGGCTTGGCCTGCAGCAGTCACAGCCCAACCCGCAGCCTCCTCTTTTATGACCCCACAGCTTATGTCCCATCGCTGCAGCGTCTGGGACAAGTGGGCCAAGAGGCAGGATGCTGGTCTCTCAGCCTAGCCAGAGCCCCAAATAGGTCACGGTGTTGAGGGGCCACCTAGATCTCCCACTCCCGGTTCAGCTATTCCAATACTGTCCTCCAGGGGACCCCTAGGGGTACAGTGGAGGGCTCCTCCACTACCACACCCCACACTGCTCCTGGGAGAGGGTTCCCTGGGGCTCAGCCTGGTGGCCTCGGCATGAGTGGAAGCTCTGGGGGCTGCCAGCCTTGTCCTGCCTGCCAGCATTGCCCGAGGCTGAGTCATCCGGATGCTTCGAAGCCCCCTCCTTATTCCCCCTCCTCCTGCCCTTGCCTGTCCCGATCTGGGGGGCTCAGGCCCTGAAGTGCTCGGTCCTGTCACCTGCTCAGGACATGGACTGGTGAAGGGGGGCCGGGTCCCTGCCCGCGTCCCGTACCGGCTCCCTGCCACGCACACGCACACGCGTACACCAGTGGGCGCCAACGTCAGAACCAGCCAAGCCAGGCTGACAGTTGCTTCGGGGGAGGGCCTGTGCCCAGCAGCCCGTCCTCCACTGTCCCTGTGTAGGAAGGCTGAGCTTCATTCCCGCTGGGCAGTGAGTCACAGCCTTCGCTCGCCCCTCCTGATGCTCGCCCACTGCACGGGGGCCAGGATCCGGTGGCTCCCGTGTGGCCAGGCCCCAGGCTCCACATCCTGCCAGTGGGCTGCAGTGGGACCTGTCTCCAGGGATGACGAGAAGGCCAGATGGCAAGGACCACTGCTCACCAGTCCAGAAGTGACCCACCTTCTGTCCTCTCTACAGCCTGTCTGCAGGGGCCCTGGCCTGGTGCCACGTCCCAGGCCCTCAGTCTTCCCACCGACTCCTGGCCCGCCGCCAGCCTGGGAAGGACACCGCTACGCCCTCCATGCTGGCTGCTCCTCTGGAAGTCGGGAGCATCCTGGAGGGTCAGAGTCCAGCCCTGTGTCCTGGACCACCTGTGCACGGCACCTCTCGCCAACGGACACGACTTCCTGTTGACTTTTGCAGTTCTCCCCAGGCGAGGGGGGGGACGTCAGGGCCTGGGTCAGAGGGCAGGCCCTGCCCCCCAAGGCCCCGGCCACGTGCGAAGCCATCGCGATGCACTTTATGTTTAGACTACTGGTGTCTCTGCCCCGCCCAGCCCGTTGTTTTGTTTTTACTCTGCTATGTTAGAGCCTTCCACAGCTAGTGACGTGTTCAGACAGATGACAGCCACAGACGATGCCAGTGTGAAGCCACAGACCTCCCCTCCCTGCGATGCGCGCCCCACCTCCGCGGGGGCCAAGTGGCTCCCTCTGGTTTTTGGTTGGTTGGTTCCTTTTTTAAGAAAACAATAAAACAGGTGGATTTGAGCTGTGGCTGTGAGGGGTGCTTGATACTGCCGGGTGGCTATTGAGGCTGTCAAGTGGAGGGTCTTGGGTCAGGGCTTGCTGCCTTGTTCCCTCGGACGGGGCGTTTAGGTCTTGCAGCTGGTGGATGCTGGGGCAGAGGCAGGGTTAGGTCCTGGAGCCCAGACTCCAGGCCTGGGGTTCCGTGTGTGCCTCTGCTGCTCTTGTGTTCTCGGTGAGCTGCAGACCACACGACAGGTCTGCACTTGGTCATGTGGGACCTGCCTGGCCCGCGCCCCCTCTGTTCTCGGTCCCAGGACCCCACAGCTTCACAGCCAGTGTTGGTCAATGGCAAACGTGCTGACCCTCTCTTCACCCCCAAAGGCCGCTGTGCTCCTAGGTCCCCAGAGAGAAGCTGGAGCAGGCAAGAGTATGCAGTAAATATTTATAACCAACCAGAAAACAAAAACACAATGAGAAATACCCTAACTGATGGTGCACACACTGGGCACGAAGCTTGGCAGGGTGACTTCGGTGGCGAGGGCTGCCCCATCTCTTGGCAATAAATAAAGCTTGGGAAAACTTGAACCCTTGGCCGTTTGGGTTTTCTTAAACACTCTTAAACACTGAGTGGTGTCCTTTCAGTTCCTTTGGACGATGCAGCTGCAGGGGAAGGCAGCCCATTCACATGCAGGGAGGGTGCGGGGAAACGGACGCGGGAGACAAAGGCGGGAGGAGCCGCTTGGGGGCTGAGCACAGGGTGTGGGCGGGAGTGGCAGCAGCAGTGGCGGCGGCGGGGCGGGCACGGTTATTGCTCGGAGGGGGCGCAGGTGGCCTCGAGCACACGCCGCGGTGAGGTAAACGGGTTCAGGGGGCTGGCAGCAGGGCCTCGGGCCAACCTCCCGGCGGACTGAAGGCCGGTGTGCTCACGCCTGCTCCTCGGCGGCCCAGGCAGCACATGCGCACTGGGACTGCAACACCTGCGTTCAAAATCCACCTCGAGGCGCGATTGGCCCTTGAAATGCACCTCGGAACTTTCAGTATTTCCCCAGGTCGCAGACCCTGCACACGCATCCGCAGTCACCCGCCACCGAGGCCCGTGCCAGCCGTCGCACGACGGTCACCACCATCCCAAAGCCACTATCTGGGGCCACAGGTAGTTGGACTGGTCCTCAGAAGCCCGAAGATGAGAAAAGTATCTCTCTCCCATCAGGCCATGGTCCCCGAGCCTCGCGCCTCAGGATGCTCAGAGGACCCGACTGCGCGCTCGCGGGGCCTGTGCGCGTGCGCCCTGGGGCGGCACGAGGTGGCCAGCGAGCTATGCGCGTGCGCGCGACGCGGCTCTGGGTGGTGGCGGGCCGCTCATGCGCGCTGG